GCCCTGGGGCTCCTCGCTCCTCCTCACTCGGGTCCCCCCCAGCAGCATTGTAAAAAGCTGGAGTAAAGCACCCTCAGAGCCAGTGCTCCTGGAGGCCAGTGACCTGGCTGAGCCTCGAGCGGTGCGTGGGTGCCCGCGTGGTCAGGAAGGGCTCTGCCTTTGCCTGGGTGGGCCCTGTCAGGGCTCGGCAGGACGTGTGCCCTGGTGCCCCGGGGGGGTCCCCGCAGGTTCGTCCCCAGGGAGCCGCCTCTCCCTTGCAGAGAACGGGGTCCTGAGGAACGGGACGGAGGAGGTGCTGTCCCTCGAGCAGTGTCCCCCCACCAAGAGGCTGAAGACCAACCCCTGCAGCAACAGCAAGGAGCAGCGGGTGGAGGAGGACCAGAGCCGAGGTGAGCGGCAGCGCTGGGCTCCTGCAGGGCCCTCGGTCTGCTTTCCAAAGGCAAAGGGGTTCGTGGTCTCCCACTGCTCCCCCGTGCCTGAGAAGACGCCAGCGACCACAGCTACACGAGGTGGTGCCACAGGCTGGGCTGTGACAAGTGCTCAGCCTGGAGGTGATCTGTGTGTTGCTCCTTGGAGCTCTAGCTCCAGTTATCTCCAGCAACGGGCGTGGGCATTGCACCAACATTTCTAATACACCCATGGCTGCTTTCTCTGTCCTAAGCTCAGCAAAGCTGTAGTAGTTTCATTGCAAGAAATAAGGTGTCTGTAAGTGGAGTGCATTTGAAGTTCGTTATACAAGGAATGATCAATCTCTTTATTTTTATTTTATAAAGAACAAATGGTTTCCGAAGTGACGAACAACAGTGGGAGTCTCGAAGGTAATTGATTGCTCTGTCTCTGGGGAAGAGTGTGGGGCTGCACTTGGCACAGGTCCTGGGTCTCCTTTTAACCTCAGCATGTAGAAAGCAGCAAGTGCCTGAGCCTGGAGCAGCTGCCCAGAGAGGCTGTGGAGTCTCCTGCTCTGGAGAGATCCCAAACCTGCCTGGAGCCCATCCTGGGCACCCTGCTGTGGGTGACCTGCTGGAGCAGGGGGGTTGGATGAGGTGGTCCCTGCAGACCCCCACCAGCCCGGGATGCTGTGGTGGCAGAGTGCTGGGCCTGCCTCTGGGGGGGAGCTGAGGGATGTGCTATGCAGATCCTCCTCACAGAGCTGTTCCCAGAGGGGCTGCAGCTTCCACAGGCTCACATGGACACGCCTGGGGCTGAGATGAGGGGCTCCAGCCTCAGGGGCGGGGTGAAGGAGGTCCTGCACCCCTGCCCCGGGGTGAGCAGAGCCCCCTCTGTCACACAGACAGCTGTTTGTCCTGCGGCAGGAGGAACCCAGCCACCTTCCACCCCCTGTTTGAGGGGGGCCTCTGCCAGACGTGCAGGGTAAGTGCTGCCGTGCCGGGGCTGGCGGGAGCCTGGGGCTGCAGGATGGGGTGCTGAGTCCAGCCCCACTGGGTCAGGAGGGGTGACTGTGCCAGATCCTGGCTGTGCTGTACCCCCCGTGGGGCTGCACCTCGGTGCTCTCCCCGCTTGGAGCACGGAGGGTGTGCAGCCCTGAATGGAGCAGAGCTGTGTTCTCTCCTCACCCCCCGAGCACAGATCCTGATCCTCTGTCCCTCTCCTCCCGGCTCCTTTCGCTAGGATAGATTCCTGGAGCTCTTCTACATGTACGACGAAGACGGGTACCAGTCCTACTGCACGGTGTGCTGCGAGGGGAAGGAGCTGCTGCTCTGCAGCAACGCCAGCTGCTGCAGGAACCTCCGCTCCTGGGGAGCCGCAGGTCGTGTGTGAGCCTGGGCAGGGTGCTCTGCTGCTCCCCAGCTGCCTGCCCTGTGGCACATCCCAGCTCAGCCTCCCCATCCCTGCTGAAACACTGCACCTGAGTAAGTCCCAGGGAGGATGGCAGGAGCTTTACCTGTGCTTGGGTCACCAGCTTGGGGAGTCTTAAACAGGGTACTGCCTGGAAAAATACTCTACAGAACGGAGTGGGGGCTCTGGTGCATGGCAGTGGAGACTCCAGGAGAGGCCAGGGTCACCCAGAGGGGTTTCCGGAGGTGATGGGAACGAGGTGTTGTGGTTTGGGCAGGTGCTTCTGTGTGGAGTGTCTGGAGGTGCTGGTGGGGCGAGGGACGTCGGCCAAGGCAAAAGAGCAGGAGCCCTGGAACTGCTACATGTGCCAGCCCCAGGGCAGCTACGGGGTGCTGCAGCGCCGGCAGGACTGGAACACCCGCCTGCAGGACTTCTTCACCAGCGACAAGGGGCAGGAATATGTAAGGGCTGCGGGGGCGAGCCCAGCACGCAGGGCCTCTGGGGAGGGGGCCACAGAGGGCAGGGCAGGCGGCTCGGAATTCCCTGGCCCTCTGCCTTGATCTCACTCGCCCACCCTCTCCAAGGGTGCTGGGCTCTTGGCCCCGCAGGTGCTCCGCTGAAGGTGGAGGTGATGCCTGTAGAGCCCAGGTGTGGCCTCACAGAGCATCGCCCAGAGCTGGGGCTTCACTGCTGTTCTTCCATTGTAGGCTGCACCCAAAATCTACCCAACGGTCCCACCAGCGAAGAGGAGACCTATTCGAGTGCTCTCGTTATTTGATGGCATAGCCACGGGTGAGGCACTGAAGGGCACCAAGAGTTTCGGGGATTAACAGTTTCATGGCCTCAGACCTGTCTCTGAAAGTGTGGTGGGGAGAAGGGGTAAGGGGCAGGGTGGTCCCATCAGGAGGACAGGATGGCAAGGGCTCCCCTTCCTGCTGGAGGGCTGTGGGGGAGGGCATGGGAATTCTGCTCATGGGGGTTCCTGCTCTGCCGAGCGTTGTCTCGGGTGGCTGGTTCCACCAAGGAGCAAGAGCAGTGGGAGCACTGGTAACCTGGCCTCTGGTGATGAAGTGCCTGCAGGGAACTGGGTTGACTCAGTTCACTTGGCTCTGGAGTTCTGTCTTCTGGGAGTAAACCTGCCTGGAGCAACAGGTCAAAACCATGGTTTGCTCATCTGGAAGTGCTGTGTGACTGTACCCACCTAGGACACGCAAGAGGGGCCACATCGAGCGGTGCTGACGAAGGAGACTTGGAGACTAAAGAGAGCAGTGCGACCTCAGAGCTCTGTCCCTCGGCAGGGTACCTGGTGCTGAAGGACTTGGGCATCCAAGTGGAGAAGTACATCGCCTCGGAGATCTGTGAAGACCCCATTGCCGTGGGCACCATGCGGCACGAGGGCAACATCACCTATGTGCACGATGTCAGGAACATAACCAAGAGAAACGTGAGCAGAGCTGTGGGAGGGCTGGGGGGCGTGGCCGTGGGCGGCATCGGCTCCTAACTGCGTCTGTTTGCTCGCTGCAGATCGAGGAGTGGGGACCCTTTGACCTGGTGATTGGTGGGAGCCCCTGTAACGACCTCTCGCTTGTCAATGCGGCCAGGAAGGGGCTGTATGGTAAGGCTGCTGCAGAGCTGGGGGGTCCTGGGGTGTTCCTGGGGTGCAGAGCCACTGGAAAGTCCACGGCAGTGGGTCAGCCCCGGTCTGCATTGGTGGTGGTGGCTCCTCACGGAGCTGCAGAGCTGTGGCACCTGCAGAGTGCAGAGGGGAGGGCAGCCAGCCCCCCGAGCTGCGCCCCCAGCGCTGCCAGTCCCAGCCCACCACTCTGGGTTCTCCCTTCCAGAAGGAACTGGGAGGCTGTTCTTTGAATTTTACCACCTGCTCAACTATGCTCGTCCCAAGGCGGGAGAGGAGCGTCCTTTCTTCTGGATGTTTGAGAACGTGGTGGCCATGAGGGTCAACGACAAGAGGGACATTTCTCGGTTCCTGGAGGTACGGATTGCTGCAGGCTTTGGGAGAGCAGGAGAGCTTGCTGGGTTTCACAAGGTGTGCTGAGGCTGTGAGGGTCTGGCTGTGGTTTTGCACAGCCCTGATGCTGGAAAACCCCCTGGCACACACCAGGAATCGAGTTTTCAGTCACAGCTCTGGATCCGCTCTGGCTTTCATCTGGCTAACGCTGAGCTCTGGTTCTCTGGGGGAAGGTTTTTGCCAGCCTCGCAGAAAGCATCTGTTCAGAGCAATGCCTGTTATTTCTAGGGAGAGGGAGGTCAGGGACTGGAAAGGATTTTTAACTGGGTGGTAGCCAAGATGGGCTGTGGGTCAGCAGGGGTGCCTGTGTGTAAAAGCCCCTCCGGAGGCTGATGGTCCTGTCCTGATCCTGGCCCAGAGGAACCGGCACTGCAGCCTGGGGGGACTTTCAGCAGGTGCTGGCTGGGGCTGTGGGGTGGGGAGGAGCTGGACTCTGCTGGGGAACAAGGGTTTGTTTGGGCTACCTCCTGAAGAGGGCTTGCTGAATTCTGCAAGTGCCTGCAGAGGAGGGTTTCCGTGCAGGAGAGGGCTGAGCTCACGCCTCCTCCAACCTTTTCCTCCCCCCGTGGCCTGCAGTGTAACCCCGTTATGATCGACGCCATCAAGATCTCGGCTGCCCACCGCGCACGCTATTTCTGGGGCAACCTGCCAGGCATGAACAGGTAACCCCCGCTGCCAGCTCGTGCCTCCCGCCCTTGTGGTGTTTTGTTTTGTGGTATTTCTGTGGTGGCTCTTTCCTCCTTGGCCCTAAGCCCAGCTCCTGGGAGCCTGAGAGCTGCAGCTCCCATTGGGCGCAGTTTCCCTGCGGTGATGTGCACGTGATAATGACTTTATTGATGAGAAACGTGATAATGAGGTTATTGATGAGCAGTGATGAGGCCGTGGGAACAGTGTAGCAGTGTCCTCTGCCCCCAACCTGAAGCCTGTGGGGGAAGAGTGATGGGGCTTGGGCAGGGTGCTGCAGGGTGTGTCTGGCTTGGGATGCACGCACACCCTCCCCAGCCTCTGTCCAAGCCCCAGGCTGATGCTGGGGTGCTGTATGGCACCCCTGGGGCAGTGCCATGTGGGGGTTTGCTGGAGATGAGACCGAGCTGCTGCCTTGGCCAGGGCTGCTCCCCACCCCAGCATGGTGGCACTGGGAAGCTCATGCTGCAGCCAGTGGCTGGTGTGGGGAAGCACA